GAAGACAAACTAACTTCCACGTACATTCTTCCAATGTAGACAATATTTCAATAATTGTCCATCGTTCATTTTATAACTCATAAGTTAATAAAATCAAATCAAAATCAAACGTATTGATTTTCTTTGCCATCTTGTTGTATCTTGATTGTTCATCACTTTGATGATTTACCACTCACACATATATTAACTTGGTTGTTCATCACTTTGATGATTTACCACTCACACATATATTAACTTGGTTGTTCATCACTTTGATGATTTACCACTTACACATTTATAAGTTCTTTTATTACGAACTTATTTATTTTCTTATTTTACAAGAAAACACAATATAATCAATTTGCAGCAAGAGTGACTATCTTGTGCACAATCATTATTTATCCACTTAATTATACTAGGCCTTACACCCCCACATTTCTAAATATTAATGTGATTACTGGTTAGGGCCTAAAGACCCCCACAATTTTTAAATATTAATGTGGTTAGCTCGGGGTATCAAATTTATATGTTTAGGGCCTAAAGACCCCCACATTTCTAAATATTAATGTGGTTAGCTCGGAATATCTAATTTTCCCCACAAATTCTAGAGTATGTATTCTAGAATTTATCATTATGATATCCATAAATTGTTTCAAGAGTTTCAATACTCATTTTTTAATTCATTTGTCAAAGTTGCATTTTCCAACTTTCATTCAGATAGCATTTAAATGCTTTGAAATCCTTATTTTTATTCATAAATAAGGATACACAATGTAACAAACTACATTTCTTCTTTAGTTAGAGAAATATATTGGATCACCAATATGATTTAATTACAAAAGAAATTGTATTTCAAGAAATCACAAAAAGAGAAATCTTCTCAAGATACTTAAATCTTGTCAACAAATGAGATAGTAAGATTTCTTCCTTTTTCTCAAAAGAGAAAATTCGTCAAGATACTTAAATCTTGTCAATAAACAAGAGAATATTAATCTCTTCAAATGGTGGTTGATCTCCACTATTCAATATTAAAGTTAGAATAAATAAATTCTAATCTTAATCATTCATAATTTAGGATTGCATGTCCTAAACATGCTGTTCAAAATTCAATCAAATCCAACGATTTAATTCTACAAAACAAAACATCCATTGTTGTTAACAACTATTTCGGATCTTTGAAAAATCAAAACCATCCATTCACATTGTAGATCATTATTTTGCAAATGTGATATCAAATCAAATCGAACCCATCGACTCGATCTTCTTTTATGTTCTTGAGACAAAAACTACTCATGTGCTCTCATGAATTGAGCTTCTCTTTCTTTCTATTTTATTTCAAATCATGCTTTTAATTAAACCTTAGTATGATTCATATATAAAACATATGTACATCAATATTATAATAAACATAATATTTGACATGTGAGCACGTCTTTCATACTAGTTGATCATAGAAAGAAACAATATATCAAGCATATTATATCAACATATACACGAGTACATAATATTTCATGGCATAAATAAATTCATGTCCAACATAATGAATTGATAAAAATTCTATAGCACGTAAATAATGCATGTCCATGCAATAACACAATTCTAAGGAATTAGTATGGTTTACGCAAATAATAATATGTATAATAATATTACTCTTACTAAGTAACTCATACTTAATATACGAGACAATAATAAAAAACGTTAATAAGATCACGTACTCACATATTCGAAAATCAATCAACCGGAAAGTTCCACATCAAATAAAAATTGGGAGAAAGTTAATCCCATATCAAACTATAAGCAACTTATGAAAATAAATATTGCATTTTCATGAGAAATGTCATTAGTATAACACTTATCATGCGGTTTATGATGTAACACCCCACGTGTCCAAAACACGATAATAAAACCTCTAGTCACGTAAATACTAAATTTTACCAAAAATAGGGCTATACGTGAATTATTGATATCCGAATTATTAGATATCAAATTTATTACGTGACCTTATGTGCCTATGTATTTCGGAAATTATGCATGCATATTAGAAATTACCATAATACATAATATGTATGAATATATACATATATATGTGTGTGTGCCGTGTATGTGTATGTAATTAGGGGTGGATTATTAATTAATTAGAAAATAAATAAATGATTATCCTAAGCCTAGCCTAACCCCTATTAACCCAATCCTACACTCCATCTCTAGCATGCTTAACTAGAAGGTCAAGAGTCCCTCTCTCCCCCTCATTTCGGCTGCACCCAAACCCCCTCCTTCTTCATTGTTCTTTCCTCTTTCAAACCACCGAAACCACCATTGATAGCAGCTCCACCAAAGCTCGAACTACCCCCAAAATCAGCAAGATACTTCTCAAACCAACCATGAGAATTCCCTATCTCACCCTTGCCCTTGAATTCTCCAAGAACACTATAAATACATGGTGCCCCTTCACGAATGAGAACACTTCTCACCTTGAAATCTACACCGTGTCATTCCACATTAAGGTAGCTTGGCTAAATCTGCAAGCTTGAAGAAGGTAAGAAGCTGCCATCCCAAGTTCTTCCACCTCTTCTTTCTTCTTCGTTCTTCCCCTCTAACTTTCGGTTTTTCTTTGAAGGTTCCCAAGAACCTTTCCCCTCTTCATCTAGCTTTCTTTCCCTTTGTTTTTTTTAAGGTAAGGAATCGAAATCCTTGCTGCAAATGGAGGTATCAAGTACAAAAGATAAAATTTCGAAATTAATTAAAAGACACCCCTAATTCTTGTTTTGTGTTAAATTCTTGTATTTACTTGCTCCTTTTCGTTAGTTCATATGATTTATGTTATTGCATGTATGATCAGAGGTCTTAAATGGTAGATTTGAGTCGATTACCTTCATAGATGTTTCGGTTCTTTCGAAAAATTGTGAAAAAAATTGAATTTGGAAAAGTTTTGGGGTTGCATGTGTAAATCGGCATATTTTCAGTTCAGATCTGCAATTTGTGAGAAGTCAGATTCATATAAGTTTCAAAAATGATTTTTAGCATTTATTGAACTGAAATTTCAGATTTAGGGAAATTTTTAAGAAAAGAGTAATTTTCGAACTTCTAGTGGCCTTGCATGTATGGATCTAAAAGTTTTGGGGTGGAAAATGGAATTTTCAAAGTTGTTGCATAAACTAAAATCTTAATCTCGTTTTCTGCATATTTTGAATAAAGATTTCGGATTGTTGGGGATTTTTCTTGAAAAAGTGGATTTTGAAATCATAGTATTGTTGCATGTGTTATTTGAAAGAGTTTTGGGGTAAATCTGTAATTTTCGGAGAATTGGTTCCAATTAGAAATCCAGGTTTGTTTTCCAGCATTTGGTAAAGGGTAATATTCAGTTTTAAAGGGGTTTTACTAAAAAAGGGAATTTGTGCATTTTAGAGGTCTTGCATGTCTAGATCTAGAGAAGCTAGGGTGAATTATGTAATTTCCGGAAATTTTGCATCAAATCAATGATAACTGAGTTTTCTGCATTAATCTGAATTTAAGTTAAGTTAAGGGTCGATTTTCATGAAAGTATGAATTTTGAACTTTAGGGTATATTGCATGTGTGAGTTTTGAACTTTGGGGGCAGAACTGTAATTTTCAGAAGTTCAGGGGTGTTGTGCTGAAAACCCGAAACCTCCCAAACTAATATGGTTCCTTGATCTTGGAATTTAATTGAAATTAGGTAGCTTAAGGAAAGATAGAAGATAGGTTGATCCTTAATAAGTGTGTGTTATATTCTTGGAGGAATCTGTGTGAATACACAATTTGATCATGGTTAGTCTTTTGTGAAATATGTGTTTAATTGTCACTTGATTGATATTTGTGATGTTTTGTGACTTTTATATTTCTTATGGGCTATTGTGGAATATTGATAACTTTATGTACTCAACCAAAAATTCTTAATACTTCGGCCGTGCCATTTTGTAATTAAATGAAATAAATTAGGGAATTAATGAAATACTTAGAAAAGATGAGAAAGGATACGGGGGGCCGGTATTCCAACCATAGATACTACAGTTGGGTGGTTTGATTCCACCAAAACGGGCTCAGAATAATCTTCTCGTGTTCTAAGTAAAGAAGTTGATTTCTCATCGGATCCGATAAAATGAAGATTTCTTATGTTTCTATAGTTAATGAACTATATGTACTAGAAATGTAAATTGTGTTAATTGTTGTTGCGCTTGTGCTATTATTATATAGTATATGTAGTACGACTATATTTTTAAATTCTTGGTATCTTTCGATAACCTTACTGAGCTTTGTTAGCTCATATAGATATTCTCCGTTTGCAGGTACTAGTACTACTCACTCCACCGGATTGGACTAGTCGACGTTTCGAGAGGACGATTCCGGGTTTTTGGTTCGTATGGAGGATCTACTTATCATGCTCGTAGTGCTATCTTTTGTGTACATTGTCCTTAGGACAATTACTATTTCTATAGTAGCTCATGTGTATTATTATCCGTGGTAGAAGAGACTAAATGCTCCGAGTGTGTGGGCCCCTTTTTGTTAAACTATGGTCCACTTATTAATATGTAGTTTTAATTATGGACTTTAACTCTTTTCCTATGTTTTATCAAGGTGACACCACATAGAAGTTTATATTACGAAATTATTGGGTGATTAGACGTATACTCCACCATCCCACTAAATCACTTCGCCGAAACATTTTTCCGAAGCCGTCTCCATCTTTAAATCTCGAACCTCAAAGAAAATAGTAATAATATGAAATCGGTTTTCTAAACCCCTTACCCACATACCCAAATACTTAAATAATACCTTCAAAGCTTCCGTGCATGGCAGACCCTCTCGGTTTGCTATACGTATACTAGGGGGTGTCACAGACATGGTATCAGAGCAAAATTTGTAGAAACTTTATACGAGCATCGAACCGGAATTCGGAAGCCTCGAAGCGAGAAGACTCAGTCAGTGCGGTAATTATGTGCATACTTGTGTTATATATTATTTTCTGTTGTTCTAAAAATATTTTGCAACACACATACTAAGATATGGCAGGAAGACCATCTCGGAACACCGCCGCCACAAATAATCTCCCAGACACCGCTAACGTTATTCTCGGTCTTTCCAACCTTATCCGCGAGCAAGCGCAGAATCATCACGATCAGATTCAACAACTCCTTCAAAGCCGACAAACCCCACCTACGCCTCAACCAAATCCCCAAAGTCTATACGAACGTTTCCTCCGCATGAAGCCCTCTGAGTTCCACGGTGATCCCGACCCGGTCGTAGCCGAGGAGTGGATCAAATCCTTGGAGGTGATCTTTGATTACATGCAAATGGATGACCGTGAACGAGTGCACTGTGCCCTGTTTCTACTTCGCAACGAAGCCCGGAACTGGTGGGAAGGAGCTAAGGAAGGTTTTGAACTCGAGAACTTGTCATGGGAAGCATTCAAAGTCCAGTTCTTCGAGAAATACTTTTCCAAGGACGTCCGGGCCAACAAACTCAAGGAATTCTTGGAGCTCCGCCAAGGGAATCTTACCATGACCGAATATGTTCGGTTATTCGAGCGAGGGTCCTTGTACGCCCCATTCATCGCCAAGGACGCCGAAGAAAAGAAAAATCACTTCACAAGGGGGCTACAACCTGAAATCCGAAGGGATATCCGCATGTCCGACGCCACTACCTTTCGCCAAATGGTGGACAAGGCACTAACCGCCGCTCAAGACGAAAGTGAAATTCAACAAGGGAAGCGACCCCAGCCACCCACGCCACGACCTTGGAAGAAGGCCAGCTTTGGAAATCACAAATTCAAGGGAAAGAAGGTCCAGGATTCGAGCCCTAAACCAGTAGCATCAACAACCAAGCCAACCTGCTCGAACTGCGGAAAGGCTCACTTTGGGATCTGCGTAAGGGATACCGAGCTGTGCTTTCGATGCAAAAAGCCCGGCCATAAGGCGAGAGACTGCCCCAACGCCCAAACTCGAGTCCCAGGCCGCACATTTGCCATGACTCGAGAGCAAGCGCGTCAAGATCCGACGATGATCGCAGGTACCGTTCTTATTCTTGGAAGACCCGTGTATGCTTTGATTGATTCTGGCTCTACACATTCCTTTATTTCCTCCGATGCGTGCGTACGTCTCGGCCTACTACCGACTCAAGTAAGCCATGAATATCGCATCTCTATGCCCTCGGGCGAAGAAATGATCACTAACAGAGTAGTGAAGAATTGCCCCATTCAAATTAAATCTCAACCCATGAGGTTCGATCTCATCGTACTAACAATCGAAAACTTCGACCTCATAATGGGAATGGATTGGTTGACCAAATTCAAGGCCCAAATCAACTGCGCCCTAAAGACCGTAAGCTTTTCTCTTCCAAATCACACCCTATTAGAATTTCAAAGCGACGCCGAGACTCTAATTCCCATAATATCCGCAATCAAAGCCACCAAACTCATCAACAAGGGACATATCGGCTACCTAGTCGACCTTCTGGAGACTAGCTCAGACCCTCAACCAGTGATGTCCGAACTTCCCATTGTCCAAGAATTTTCCGACGATCTATTTGACCAACTTCAAGGGTCGTCCGTCTTCTCCAAGATCGACCTCCGGTCAGGTTACCACCAGCTGAATGTCAAAGAAACAGACATTCCGAAGACTGCTTTCCGAACTCGGTACGGCCATTATGAATTCGTAGTAATGCCGTTCGGGTTAACCAACGCACCAGCCGCTTTCATGGACCTTATGAATCGAGTTTTTCATCAGTACCTCGACAAGTTTGTCATCGTCTTTTTCGATGATATTCTTATATACTCCAAGACCCAAGAAGAACATGCCTCCCAATTACGAATAGTACTGCAAACACTCCGAGATCATCAACTCTACGCCAAGTTCAGTAAATGTGAATTTTGGCTATCCCGAGTCACTTTTCTTGGCCACATCATCTCCGCCGAAGGACTTTCCGTCGACCCCAGCAAAATAGAAGCAATCTCAACCTGGCCAACTCCAAAGAATGTAAGGGAGATACGAAGTTTCCTTGGCTTAGCCGGATACTATCGCAAATTCGTTCAAGATTTTTCAAAAATCGCATCACCCCTCACTCAACTCACGAAGAAAGGAGTCACTTACCGATGGACCCCAGACCGAGAGGCTAGTATCCAAGAACTAAAGAAGCGTTTGACCACCGCTCCAATTATGTCACTACCAACGGGATCTGGAGGATTTGTGATTTACAGCGACGCATCCAAACTCGGACTAGGTGCCGTACTCATGCAAAACGGAAAAGTGATAGCTTACGCGTCCCGCCAGCTCAAGGAATACGAGAAAAATTACCCAACTCACGATCTGGAGCTCGCAGCAGTAGTCTTTGCACTTAAAATCTGGCGTCACTACCTATACGGCGATAAGTGCACCGTTTACACCGACCACAAAAGCCTGAAGTATTTCTTCACACAGAAGGAATTAAACATGAGGCAGCGAAGATGGCTCGATCTGGTTAAAGACTATGACTGCGAATTCCTATATCACCCCGGGAAGGCGAATGTCGTAGCAGATGCTCTTAGCCGGAAATCAATGAACGCCCTAGTAGTTGAATGAGATTTCCGAGACCGCGTGAGGACAGCTCAAGATCAGGACCCCCAACTTCAGAAAATTCGCACAAATCTCGAAGCAAACCCTAATTTCCGAATTTCCAAAGACGGATTTCTCCTATTCCAAAACCGCACTTGCATTCCCGACGATGCCGAAATTAAACGGCTCATATTAGCAGAGGCACATCAGACCACATATACATGTCACCCCGGGTCAACCAAAATGTACCAAGACCTGAAGAAACTATATTGGTGGCCGAGAATGTAGAATGATATAGCTCGATTCGTTGCTCAATGCCTCACCTGCCAACAAATCAAGACTGAACACCAACGACCCGGAGGATTACTTCAACCGAACCAAATTCCCGAATGGAAATGGGAAGTGATAACGATGGACTTTGTTCAAGGATTCCCAAGGACCCGGCGCGGTTCCGACTCGATTTGGGGTAATCATCGATCGGCTAACCAAATCAGCCCATTTTCTTCCAATCCGCAAGACGTTTAGCTTAGATAGACTCGCAGAACTCTATATGCGAGAAATCGTCCGACTCCATGGAATTCCGACGGCTATTATTTCGGATCGAGACCCACGGTTCACCTCAAGGTTCTGGAAAAGTTTGCACGGAACTCTTGGAACCAAGTTATCATTCAGCACAGCCTTTCATCCCCAAACCGATGGCCAGTCGGAACGCACGATTAAAACCCTTGAGGACCTACTTCGAGCCTGTATACTCGACTTTGGAGGCAACTGGGAATCTCGACTACCGTTGATCGAATTTGCGTATAATAATAGCTTCCAATCATCAATCGGAATGGCGCCTTACGAAGCACTTTATGGACGAAAGTGCCGATCTCCCCTTTACTGGGATGAAGTTGGAGAGAGAAAACTTCTCGGACCCGACTCAGTTCAACAAACGGTGAATCTAGTTCGATACATCCGAGAAAATATGCGAGTTGCCCAAAACCGACAACAAAGCTACGCTAATAATAGGAGGCGAGATTTGGAATTCGAAGTCGGAAGTTTAGTATTCCTAAAAGTAGCCCCTTTTAAAGGAATTTTGCGATTCGGAAACCGAGGCAAACTATCTCCGCGATATATCGGACCGTTCGAAATACTCGAAAGAATAGGCAGTCGCGCTTACCGTCTAGTACTTCCGCCTAACCTATCCCGAATCCATAACGTATTCCACGTCTCCATGCTTCGCAAATACATTCCCAGCCCCGAACACATTCTCAAGGCCGAACCCATTGAGCTAAATCCGAACCTTTCCTACGAAGAAAAACCCCTCCGAATTCTCGACTCCAAAACCAAGACACTCCGAAACCGCGAGATTCACCTAGTCAAAGTGCAGTGGCACAACCACACACCTGAAGAAGCTACATGGGAACGCGAATCAGAAATGAGAAGTCTATATCCCGAATTATTCGGGACAGGTAACAAATTTTGGGGACAAAATTTTTAAAGGGGGGAAGATTGTAACACCCCACGTGTCCAAAACACGATAATAAAACCTCTAGTCACGTAAATACTAAATTTTACCAAAAATAGGGCTATACGTGAATTATTGATATCCGAATTATTAGATATCAAATTTATTACGTGACCTTATGTGCCTATGTATTTCGGAAATTATGCATGCATATTAGAAATTACCATAATACATAATATGTATGCATATATACATATATATGTGTGTGTGCCGTGTATGTGTATGTAATTAGGGGTGGATTATTAATTAATTAGAAAATAAATAAATGATTATCCTAAGCCTAGCCTAACCCCTATTAACCCAATCCTACACTCCATCTCTAGCATGCTTAACTAGAAGGTCAAGAGTCCCTCTCTCCCCCTCATTTCGGCTGCACCCAAACCCCCTCCTTCTTCATTGTTCTTTCCTCTTTCAAACCACCGAAACCACCATTGATAGAAGCTCCACCAAAGCTCGAACTACCCCCAAAATCAGCAAGATACTTCTCAAACCAACCATGAGAATTCCCTATCTCACCCTTGCCCTTGAATTCTCCAAGAACACTATAAATACATGGTGCCCCTTCACGAATGAGAACACTTCTCACCTTGAAATCTACACCGTGTCATTCCACATTAAGGTAGCTTGGCTAAATCTGCAAGCTTGAAGAAGGTAAGAAGCTGCCATCCCAAGTTCTTCCACCTCTTCTTTCTTCTTCGTTCTTCCCCTCTAACTTTCGGTTTTTCTTTGAAGGTTCCCAAGAACCTTTCCCCTCTTCATCTAGCTTTCTTTCCCTTTGTTTTTTTTAAGGTAAGGAATCGAAATCCTTGCTGCAAATGGAGGTATCAAGTACAAAAGATAAAATTTCGAAATTAATTAAAAGACACCCCTAATTCTTGTTTTGTGTTAAATTCTTGTATTTACTTGCTCCTTTTCGTTAGTTCATATGATTTATGTTATTGCATGTACGATCAGAGGTCTTAAATGGTAGATTTGAGTCGATTACCTTCATAGATGTTTCGGTTCTTTCGAAAAATTGTGAAAAAAATTGAATTTGGAAAAGTTTTGGGGTTGCATGTGTAAATCGGCATATTTTCAGTTCAGATCTGCAATTTGTGAGAAGTCAGATTCATATAAGTTTCAAAAATGATTTTTAGCATTTATTGAACTGAAATTTCAGATTTAGGGAAATTTTTAAGAAAAGAGTAATTTTCGAACTTCTAGTGGCCTTGCATGTATGGATCTAAAAGTTTTGGGGTGGAAAATGGAATTTTCAAAGTTGTTGCATAAACTAAAATCTTAATCTCGTTTTCTGCATATTTTGAATAAAGATTTCGGATTGTTGGGGATTTTTCTTGAAAAAGTGGATTTTGAAATCATAGTATTGTTGCATGTGTTATTTGAAAGAGTTTTGGGGTAAATCTGTAATTTTCGGAGAATTGGTTCCAATTAGAAATCCAGGTTTGTTTTCCAGCATTTGGTAAAGGGTAATATTCAGTTTTAAAGGGGTTTTACTAAAAAAGGGAATTTGTGCATTTTAGAGGTCTTGCATGTCTAGATCTAGAGAAGCTAGGGTGAATTATGTAATTTCCGGAAATTTTGCATCAAATCAATGATAACTGAGTTTTCTGCATTAATCTGAATTTAAGTTAAGTTAAGGGTCGATTTTCATGAAAGTATGAATTTTGAACTTTAGGGTATATTGCATGTGTGAGTTTTGAACTTTGGGGGCAGAACTGTAATTTTCAGAAGTTCAGGGGTGTTGTGCTGAAAACCCGAAACCTCCCAAACTAATATGGTTCCTTGATCTTGGAATTTAATTGAAATTAGGTAGCTTAAGGAAAGATAGAAGATAGGTTGATCCTTAATAAGTGTGTGTTATATTCTTGGAGGAATCTGTGTGAATACACAATTTGATCATGGTTAGTCTTTTGTGAAATATGTGTTTAATTGTCACTTGATTGATATTTGTGATGTTTTGTGACTTTTATATTTCTTATGGGCTATTGTGGAATATTGATAACTTTATGTACTCAACCAAAAATTCTTAATACTTCGGCCGTGCCATTTTGTAATTAAATGAAATAAATTAGGGAATTAATGAAATACTTAGAAAAGATGAGAAAGGATACGGGGGGCCGGTATTCCAACCATAGATACTACAGTTGGGTGGTTTGATTCCACCAAAACGGGCTCAGAATAATCTTCTCGTGTTCTAAGTAAAGAAGTTGATTTCTCATCGGATCCGATAAAATGAAGATTTCTTATGTTTCTATAGTTAATGAACTATATGTACTAGAAATGTAAATTGTGTTAATTGTTGTTGCGCTTGTGCTATTATTATATAGTATATGTAGTACGACTATATTTTTAAATTCTTGGTATCTTTCGATAACCTTACTGAGCTTTGTTAGCTCATATAGATATTCTCCGTTTGCAGGTACTAGTACTACTCACTCCACCGGATTGGACTAGTCGACGTTTCGAGAGGACGATTCCGGGTTTTTGGTTCGTATGGAGGATCTACTTATCATGCTCGTAGTGCTATCTTTTGTGTACATTGTCCTTAGGACAATTACTATTTCTATAGTAGCTCATGTGTATTATTATCCGTGGTAGAAGAGACTAAATGCTCCGAGTGTGTGGGCCCCTTTTTGTTAAACTATGGTCCACTTATTAATATGTAGTTTTAATTATGGACTTTAACTCTTTTCCTATGTTTTATCAAGGTGACACCACATAGAAGTCTATATTACGAAATTATTGGGTAACTAGACGTATACTCCACCATCCCACTAAATCACTTCGCCGAAACATTTTTCCGAAGCTGTCTCCATCCTTAAATCCCGAACCTCAAAAAAAAAATAGTAATAATATGAAATCGGTTTTCTAAACCCCTTACCCACATACCCAAATACTTAGATAATACCTTCAAAGCTTCCGTGCATGGCAGACCCTCTCGGTTTGCTATACGTATACTAGGGGGTGTCACAGACATGGTATCAGAGCAAAATTTGTAGAAACTTTATACGAGCATCGAACCGGAATTCGGAAGCCTCGAAGCGAGAAGACTCAGTCAGTCCGGTAAATATGTGCATACTTGTGTTATA